GTGTTGAAGTCTCCTACTATAAGTGTGTGTGGTTTTATGTGTGGTTTGAGCTTTAGTTATGTTTCCTTCACAAATGTGGGTGCCTTTTTATTTGGGGCAGAGATGTTCAGGATTGAGACTTCATCTTGATGGACTTTTCCTGTGATGAGTATGAAATGCCCTTCTTTATCTCTTTTGATTGCTTTAAGTTTAAAGTCCAATTTGTTAGATATTAGGATTCCTACACGAGCTTGAGCTTGCTTCTTGAGCCCATTTGATTGGAAAATCATTTCCCATCCTTTTACTCTGAGGTAATGCCTGTCTTTGAAGTTGAGGTGTGTTTCTTGTAAACAGCAGAAGGATGGACTCTGTCTTCGTATCCATTCTTTTAGCCTATATCTTTTTATGGGTAAGTTAAGACCATTGACATTTGGGGATATTAATTTCCATTGTTTGTTGGTTCTTGTTTGTTTTGGATTTATTGTTGGTGGCATCATTGTTTGAAAATCTTATTCTGTCTTCTTCCCATATCTTATTCCAGTAAGTGCAGGTAGGATCTCTCTATCTCCTCTTGTTACGCTGTAGTGTGTGTGGGCCAGGAATTCAATGTCCGAAGCTCTGGATGGTCTTGCCTCTCCTTGTAATCTCCTCACTCTAAAGGAGTTAGCCCTCCATAGGGATCGGGTGTGTGGAGGCAGGACAGGAAGTAAGAGTGGGGAGTTTCCAGGCTCTGGGGGTTCCTCACTGCCTGGGTAGGTCTACCCCAAGCAGGAGCAGGCCCGGGGAGATAGGGATGGATGGGGCTTTGATAGGGAGTTGGGTAAGAGCGGTGGATCACTCACCTCCTGGCAGATCGGTCTCCTGGAAGGGAAGAAAGAGTGGCCTGTACCCAGATTCAGGGAGCTCCTCCCTGCCTGGGGATGTCTATTTCAAGCAGGGACAAGCCTGGGGAGATCTGGGTGAATGGTGCTTTGGACAGGAGTTGGGTAAAAGCAGGGGGTCACTCACCTGGTCTGCAGATGAGTCGGCAGAAAGGCAGTTGATTTCTTTTGAAACCATAAATTACTCACTGAATGTGACTCATGAACTTAAATAGGATTGGCATTTGATAGTTTTTGTTTTTATAATTATCTTCCTATACATGACCAAATCAAATTAAGCCATTATGTTATGACACCATCATGGAAATGTTGATATTCTATTTTAACAATAGAAATTGTACCATATGAATAGTATGTTTCAACTTGTAGTCCAATGGGGTCATTAATTTTCCTTAGAAACATCTTATACACTTTTTATAATCTTTCCAAGCTCAAATAGCCTTGTGAAATCCAATTAGGCCATCCATGAGGTATTATTGTTAGAGGAAATTTGTAATTTCAGCAAAGTCATGGCTATAATTGTGCTATATATTGTGGACCACTAAAATATAGTATTGTCATTGGTAGAATGACAGAAGGACATTTTGCAATGGTGAAGGCAGAAGTAGAGGGAAGTAAAAAAAATTAAAAAGCCACCAATTTAATGTTCTTTTACAAGTAAATTAATTGCCATATATATGAATTCCTAAAATAAGGATGATGTAAAAAAAAAAATTAAAAAGCCACCAATTTAATGTTCTTTACAAGTAAATTAATTGCCATATATATGAATTCCTAAAATAAGGATGAGACTACATATCTCTGCACTCTGTAGTATTCCCTAACCTTCCTTCACATCCTGATACAGATAGATGGTACATACTAGATGTGGGTCATTGACCCTGGACATCGCTCTATCTCAACTGATCCAAACATGTTCTTGATCATTATACTTTACCTACAATATGATACTCTGTTCTAGCAGCACAAAAGACACAAAGACACACATCCTTCTGTAGTTTTGAATGTTTTCAATGTCAGCTGTCTGGGTTTTCTGTCTTTATTGCCTCCATCAAGATGCAGAAAATGCTGATCCTACCACAGAAACTGTTCTCTTTCGCACAGTCTTCTGTGGTGTGTCGTGCATAGTTTTTGTGGTTTTTACAGCAGTTGTGGTGTTCTGACTAAACATGGGTGACTTACTTCTTCTGAAGTCTGATTCTGGCCCACTACCTAAAGGCAGAGGCTTCCTGTTTTTTGCTAACTGTCTGTATATTTGCATGTCTTTGGCATGGTAGGGGATTTCTAAATTCTCTCTGTATCTTGAACTCTGACACCTCTTAGAGATGTACGCTACTCAGCAATATGCCAAAATTATTCATGGGAAGTTTTATTTGTTTATCATTTAACACTGTTAATAAGGTAGAAATGCAACACAGTGAATGTCAAATATTTATTATCTACAATATGATCACTTCATGTATATTCAATTAATCATGACATCATGATAGCAATCAAAATAATTAATATATCCATCATATCCCAAAACTTGTTCATGTCTCTTCATATTTTATGATTACTTGCCTTAATTTATGTATTCTGAATGTTTGAATCAAGGACTTTTTCTCTTTTTTTCAAAATGAATGTCCCCTTGTTTCTAGTTCTAGTGTTGCAAGATGAGGCAAAAGAGGTATGTCAAAGAGGTGTTTGTCATATATTTGAAGTCAAGCTGAAGACAAAGCCAACAATGTTCAGTGCCTACTACAGGATTCAGGTGAAATAATAGTTGAAAGGAAACAGGCTTAAAAAGTTAATGCTGGGAAGAAAAATAAAGGCACTGCTACTGTGCTTCTGGGTTCAAATTAGTACAGTGAGCAGGGTACCATGTGCTATTTGGAAACCTCCAGGCTTGTCTCCTAATGTAACATGTTTAACTGCATTGAACCTCATAGGAATGAAAATGTCTATAAGTTTCTAAAGCAATGAGGAAGTGTCTTATTATAGTAGAATCTATTCTATGTATTGACTGGAAAACCACACTGCTGCTGCTCCAGAAGAAAATGGAAAGGTGGATACCACCAGGAGATACTGAGATTTTCTGTTGTGGATGATGCCATTGACTCAGAACTAAAGTTTCTTGTTTGGAATTTGATTTGATGAGGGTTAGAAAATGAAATAAATTGGTTGTAAGTACTATGTCTTTTCTATGGCAAGTATTTCTTTACACATGGAATGTCATTTTTTGAAATAACTTATTCAGAGCAAGTTTTAACATCCCTGTTCCTCAGGCTGTAGATCATGGGATTCAGCATGGGCACAATGGTAGTATAAAAGACAGAGGACACTTTCCCTTTGTCTTTGGATCTGACTGAGGAGGGCTGTAGATACACAAATGCCAAGGAACCAAAGAAGACAGCAACAGCAGAGAAGTGGGAGCCACAGGTGCTGAAGGCTTTGAATATGCCCTCAGTGGATTTGATATGGAGGATGCTAGCAATGATGAAGATATATGAACCCAAGATGGTCAGAGTTGAAACAAGGATGTTAAAAGCACGGAGGCCTAGGAGGAATACCTCATTGACAAAAGTATTGGAGCAGGCAATCTCCATCAGTGGGAAAAGATCACATAAGTAATGGTTTATTATATTAGTCTTACAGAAAACCACTCTTAGCATGCAGAGAGTATGAACTGCTGCACAGATGATGCCCATGCAATATATCCCACCTACCATCCAGGGAACAGACTTGGTAAGACATAGTAACATTGCACAACAAGGGATTACAAATGGCAACATAGCAGTCATATGCCATAGCAGCCAACATGTGACACTCAGATATCACAAACACAAGGAAGAAATAGAGCTGAGTCATACATTCCTGGTAGGAGATGACATTCTTCTCTTTTACAAAGTTCACCAGCATTTTGGGGGTGATGACAGTGGAGTAACAGAGGTCAATGAAGGACAGACTGCTGAGGAAGAGGTACATGGGGGTGTGCAGGTGGGAACTGAGCAGGATCAGGATGATCATTCCCAGGTTCCCCAGCACTGTGAGCAGGTAGATTCGAAGGAAGAGGAGGAACAGGGGCAAATGTAGCTCTGGTTGGTCTGTTAACCAGGAGAGGATGAACTCAGTCACTGCAGAGTCATTTCTTTCTGCCATTTCTCCCTAGGTGTTCAATGTAGAAAGTGAAAAAAAAGTTATTTATCACACATCTGCTTGATATGTAACATCTAACTTAAGTTTTTCATTCTGGTGTTTCCTGTTTATAACATCTCTTCATTTATGTTACCCATTGAATCTTTAACATGAGACATACAAATAGATTGTTAATGTATCTATGTCTATCTGTGCTATATGAACAGCCAAAGAACAGATATATCTAATTCAATGGAGCTTTCTAGCAATTCCTCATGCCTATCTGGTATATATTTCTTTATATTAAAATATCAACATCATCCCAGAACTCTCAAATAATTCTCCTGGAAACCTTTCACCCCGATTAAATGAATGAGGCAATCATAGCATATTCCTTCAACACTGTAATGTAGATTCTAGTTTCCAGCAAGTAAACAAGGCACTGTATATGAAGTTCCTATAACTGCAAACAGGAAATGTGACTATGTCTACTTCTTAACAGTGTAATATTCTACATAAAAAATTCGAATTAATATATAAAGAAATTTGAAGAAACATTTAAATGGTCATTAAGTGTTATAACAGGAGATCAATGGCAAACTCAAGAACCATTAAATTATTTAGTAATTTTATAAACATAATTAGCATATATGTACTTCACATGAAAAAATGTAAGACATTCAACACATATAGAAATTGAATATATATAGAATTGCATAGTTCTTTGAAAAGCAATTAAAGACATTAGGAAAAGAAAAGTTTCCACACTTGTGAGTAAATGAAAATTTTGTGTCAGTGGAAATACATTCTAGATCAGTTTCTGAACTCAGTGTTATCTACAACTTCCTGTTTTCATTTAATTTTCTTGCATATGAATACTTGTACCTCCATGAAAATTGTGACTCAAGAAAATCCAAATGCACTTGAAATGGGAGAATGAAGATCTAGAGCTCTCCACTCTGGAATCTCACTACCATTTTTGTTATTCTGCATAGTGTAGTACTGCTATAACCAGAGATGTGCCTAGTTATAAATGGATGGAATTTGACACTCCAGAAAGAAGCTCTTATTGACAGTCTTGGGGAATAATGGATTTTTGAAATGTCAATGTGGAGATGCTTCCCTATTACATGGTAGAGAATTAATAGACAGGTACTTGTTATTAATATGTAATGCTTTCTCATGCCAGTCAATCAAATTAATTCAAAATGGGCCATTGGAAGTAAGTAGAGCAGACAAAGCAATGTCAATATTGAGTGAAAACACAATCAAAGTTTTACAAATTTAAAATTGCTAGTCTGTCTTAGATAAGGTGCTGAAAGCAAAATCTGTCTTATAGAATTAGTAAAGCAAACATTGCATAATGTCAGAAAACATGACATTCAGCATGGAAAAAGATTTTTAAAAGATATCCAAGGGGAACAAATTCTAGACAGTATACATAAAAACCAATTCAGTTTAACAAATAAAGGTCAAATGATGCAACTATAATGGCCAGAAGATGGGAACAGCCATTCTTCCATTAAAAATCCACAGAAAAACATACAAAAATACTTGTCATAGAATGGAAGGCAGAAAGACAGGAATACTATATCAATGTAAAAATATTACTAAAGTTGGAATGCTAATTTATAAATATATTCTGTGCAATGCATTGCCTGTCCTTAACAATTAGGCCTCTATACAATCAAAATGTTAGAGGTTAAGTCTCAAATTAAGCATTCTGAAACATATAAAAAATGAAAATATACAGGAAACTTTTGGGACATACCACTGATATTCATTAACTTGATTATTGTGGTGTCACAAGTGTTGGAATATGTACAATCTGAAAATATATCCATATTAAATAGTTAAAGTCTGCTGTATGTCATTTCTGCTTCAGTAATACTAAAGGACAAACAGAACTGGCAACTCACATGTCTCTAAGATGCTTCAGGTAAAGCAGTGGTTCTCAATCTATGGGTTACAACCCCTTTGGCAAACCTCTGTTTTCAAAATTATTTAATTAAATATTTGAAGCCAGGTCAATGTTTTTCTCTTGATTTAAGGCTTGGGGAAATAGCAACATTATAACTGATATTAAATATTACTCCTTTCATGTCTACTTACTGTTTTTAAGGTTTCTTAAACCGTCTCAGTGAAAGGTCATGCTGAAGTAAGTTTGGAAATAAATGGAGATTCAGAAATAAAAACAAAACACAATGAACTTTTTAAATTCTTTTAGACTACATAATGTATTACTCATGAAATTACTTTCCATGATGGTACAGGAAGAAAATTTCTGCATGCACTGTAACCAGATGCTGTGAATGCACCAAGAAAATAATACACAGTGAGGAATGGAAACTTTTCTTGAATTGGAGAGTTAACGATTACGAATGAGGTTTGTGAAGAAAAGTATATGGTAGTAACTGAGAGTAGAAAATGTCTGTATGAATGATGCTTAGCTCACTATAAACACACATAAATTATTGATACATGATTGAAAATGTGTCTCTGTAGAAGGTGAACATGTATAAATGCCACATGCTTCAAGGAAAAGATGGTATATTTTTATGTTTTAATTTTGGATAAAAATGTGTATGGTAAAGATAACACTTTCAGAAATATTTAACAATTCATTAAATTAAAAAATATGAGGCACATAAAATATAGAAAATATTAAAATGTATATCTATTCCACAAAATAAGAAGAAATCTTGGTGTCCATATCCCAGGTACCCACTGGGGTCTGTTACTCAAAGACCCACTCTGGCACCAAACCCCAGACACCTGAACATTCTCCCAATGGCTAGCCCTTCCCAGCTACCCCAGCAGACTAAATAGGCAGAGGTGCAAACCATAAAAAATTTATTGTGAAATCAGTTGAGTTATTGGCCTCCCAGCTGGTCTGCCCCATGTCCAGACCCTAACTAAACCCCGGAGCACATCACATACTCATCCCAGCACCAGCAAGGCCATCTGGGCCCTCCTCCGTTTCTGGAACAACTCCATTGTTCTGATGCAGTCCCCACCTATAGGCTGTGCCCCACCCCTGCCACCCACTGGACTGTGTCCCTCCAAGACCCACTCTGACACACAACCACACACACTTGTGCATCCTCCCGTGGTCAGCCTTCCTCCACCTCAGAAGACTTCATAATCACAGGTGCAAACCAAAGAAGTTGTTAAAACACATGAGTGATCTACCTCCCAGCCAGACTGCCCCAGAGTTTAAAACCTAACTAACCTCCAGGGTATTGCCTTACAACTTCTAACTCTCTCTTCCATCCCAGCACCACCAAGGCAGTTGGGCCCTGTCCCCACTTCTGGTGGAACTCCACTGCTCTGGTATAACCCACACCATCTGGTAACCATGCATATGAACACTCTCTTCCTAGCCAGCCATCAACTGCAAATCCAGCAGACTACAATCACACAGGTGCAAACCACATCAATTGCAAGACAGGCACAGTAGAAGCCACACCAGCTAGAAGAACAGAATGAGTAAATGCTGGTGTAAGAATATATTCAACAAATGAAAGAGCAATATGGCACCACCAGAACCCAGTAATCCTACAACAGCAAAACCTTAACATTCCAATGTACCTGAAACAGAAGAAAATGAATTTAAAAATTATTTTATGAATATGAAAGTGTCTCTTAAAGAAGAAATGGAAAATTCCCTTAAAGAAGGCAAGGAAAAGGCAAACAAAAATTGAAAGGAATCAAAAAATCCTGCAAAGAAATTATAGAAAGCCAAAAAAACAGTCAAACAGCTGAAGAAAATGGTTCAAGACATCAAAACTGAAATAAAAGCAATAACAAAAATACAACATAGGGAATTCTGGAAATGGAAAATCTGGGGAAGCACACAGGAACTACAGATGAAAGCATCACCAACAGACTACAAGAGATGAAACAGAGACTTATTTATTATGAAAGTTTGGCCTTAGCTTAGGGTTGTTTCAAACTAGCTCTTATAACTTAAATTAAACTGTGCTTTTAATCTATATTCTTTTATATGTTTCTGCTACTTTTAATCTGTACTGTCCATCCTTCTTCCTCCATATCTGGCTGTGACTCTGCCATTCTTCTTCCCAGAGCTCTCTCTGTCTAGAAGTCCCTGACACATCTCTTGCCTAGATATCAGCAATTTAGTTTTTTTTTTATTAAAGCAATCACATGTGACATATCTTTACACCCTGTAATTGAATATCTCACAACGTTTACTACCATGCTAAGTCAGCATTTTACTTTCATGATTCCATCATCTCAGGTACCAAATTATTAAACGTTGTAGAGTCTCACATATTTAGATATAGATATATTTTTATCTTACTTTGTTTTAGATGATATCACTAAGGTATAATTGTCCCAGCCAAGACCACAGAATGTTACCTATTTATTTTAAAATATTTTTGTTATTTTTATCTATGTGTATGTTTCTGTCTGTGTATATGTATGTGCATACAGGTCCGGTGCCTATGAAAGCCTGAGGTACCAGATACCCTAGAACTTGTATTACAGGAGTTGGTAAGGAGGACATATGGAATTGAACTAAGGTCCTCTGGAAGAGCAACAAATGCTGTTAACCACTGAGCCATCTTTCCAAAACTAACTTGTATATTTTATTTTTTTATTTTAAATAGAAAGATTATTTTAATCCCTAGGTCCCTCTCCCTCCCCTCTTCCCGTGTCCCCCCAAACTATCCCATACCCCATCTGCTCCCCAAGGAGGGTGAGGCCTTCCGTAGGGGGTCTTCTAAGTCTGTCATATCCTTTGGGATAGGGCCTAGGCCAAACCCCTTGTGTCTAGGCTCAGGGAGAATCCCTCAGTGTGGGATGGGCTCCCAGAGTAGTAGTGGGGGCCCACTTCAAGGAGCCCCATAGATTTCCAAGGTCTCCTCACTGACACCCACATTCAGAGAGTCTGGATCAGTCCCATGCTGGTTTCTGAGCTATCAGTCTAGGGACCAAGAGCTCTCCCTTGTTCAGGTCAGCTGTATCTGTGGGTTTCATCAGCCTGGTATGGACCTCTA